CCTAGCAACCCCAGCAGAATTCCACCCATTACCTAGCAACCCCAGCAGAATTCCACCCGTTACCTAGCAACCCCAGCAGAATTCCGCCCGTTCCCTAGCAACCCAGGTGGAGCTTCAGCATGTTTGGTCAGCTGATTTTATTGCTGTATGCGCTGTACAATGGCTGCTGGAAAAGACAAGAGTTTTGTTGTTGACTTACCATCCAGGAGCCATTTGCTGCATTTCTTGTTGGTTGCACATGAGGTTCTACTTCTGCTTTTCAAAGATGTACGGTTGTATAATTGCTCATCCATTTTCAAGTGCAAATGTAAACGTGGCCACCAGCAGCTTACTTGGATTTAAAGTGACAAGATGCCCTAAAACAAAATAGGCAGAACTGAACTGACTAAAAACTCATAATTTTATGCAGAAACTGTTTTGAGCATGTTTTGTCTAGACCTGTTATGTCTTGTTATTGCATGTAAAGGACAGCAGGGGGAGCTCTGACTATGGATAAGATGCGGTATGAAGAAGACGAGAGTAAAAGAGAGTACTGAAGCTGAGCTACGTGTGATGCCTGCTTATTCCACTATTTCAACATAGCACACCACAACATTGACGACGAGGATGTCTATTTCTGTGCCTTTACCTACTCCATTCATGCCATGCCCAGGGGAACCAGCGATACCGTTTCCAACATGGCTAAAGATGTTCGACAACTACATGTTGGTGATAGCTGCATCGGGGGATAGCTGGCCTGATGCCAGAAAGCGCGCGGTTTTACTTCATGCCCTGGGTACAGAGGGCCAACGGCTTTTCTACACCCTGCCGAATACCGGAGACACGTTTACTACTGCTATTGCTGCCCTTAAAGAACATTTTGTGCCGAAGGTGAACGTCATTGCTGAACGTCACAAGTTTCGACAACGAGCACAGAGACCGGATGAGACGGTAAACCAATTCTTAGCTTCTCTATGGGAGTTAGCTGCTACATGTGATTTTGGGAACATGGAGGACCAAATGCTACGTGATCAACTGATTGAGGGTGTTGCTTATACTCGCGTAAGAGACAGATTATTGCTTGAACCGGACTTAACACTTGCTAAAGCTACTACATTGGCGTTGCAAATTGAAAGTGGATTAAGAGATGCTAACGTCCTTTCTGATGCTACCGCTGCTAGCGCTTCCGCTCCAGTGAGGGCCGTACAAAAGCAACCAAAGCAAAGCCGCCGCTTGGACACGAAGAAGAAGCCGCCGGATCCTGCTCCTGCTACGACTCAAGCTGCTGCTAACCGCCGTTCCTGCTTCCGCTGTGGATCTTTCAACCACATTGCTAACAAACCTTCATGCCCTGCTGCTAACATGACATGCAACAAGTGTGGTAAAGTGGGACATTTTTCGCGAGTATGCCGTTCGACTCAAAAGGAGGTACGTGTCCATTATACCAGAGAACATTTACCAGACCTACTTTTCTGAATGTGTGCTAACTGAACCTACATTTGCTCTTGTTACCTATGCAAAAGAGAAAATTTCTGTAAAAGGGTGCTTAAAAGCTACTATTTCTCATGATAGTCATTCTACTGCAGGTACTCTTGTTGTTGTTGAGTCAGGTGCTGCTCTTCTTGGCTTAGATTTGTTTCAGGCTTTACAAATGAAACTTGAAGGACGAAAGGTTATTACTACTAGTACTTCTCCTACCCCTATCGTTGAACCTGCTTTACCAGATACTGTATCAGATCATTCTCCAGACATGTCAGTTCAGGAAGTTGGCTATGCTAAAAACTTCATACACAAAGTACATATACTGCCTAATGCTGTTCCAGTGCAACAAAAACTCAGGAGACTTCCATTTTCAATAAGAGAAGCTGTTTCAGAGGAGCTCAAAGATCTCCAGGATAAGGGCGTCATTGAACGTATTGATGCTTCTCCTTGGGTTTCTCCCATAGTCGTGACACAAAGAAGAGATGGGGGGGAAAGCCACGCATATGTGTTGATTTAAGGGAGCCAAATAAAGTAATTGTTGCTGATTGCCATTCATTACCACACATGGAGGAACTGTTCTCAAATCTACGAGGGGCTACTGTTTTTTCCACGATTGATTTAGCTTCTGCCTACCACCAAATGCCTCTGCATCCTGAAAGTCGTGATATTACAGCATTTATCACCCATGATGGACTTTTTCGTTTCTGCAGAGTTCCTTTTGGCTTAGCTTCTGCCCCATCAGCGTTTCAGAAAATGATGTCAATCATCCTTGCAGGTTTGCCAGGTGTACAAGCATACCTGAATGACATCATCTGCTATGGCTCTACACAAAAAGAACATGATGAAAATTTACGGAGAGTTCTTCAAGCCTTGACTGATGCCGGACTCAAACTGAACATGCACAAATGTAAATTCAATCAACCTTCACTAAACTACCTGGGTCACACCATTTCAAAAGACGGTCTTCAACCAGATCAGGATAGAGTCACTGCTGTGATTCATGCTCCAGCTCCACACGACACGTCTTCTCTGAGATCTTTCCTTGGTCTTGCATCATGGTACAGTAAGTTCATTCCAGATTTTGCGACTGTTAAGTGAGCCATTACGTGCAGTGCTCAGAGACTCCACAGATTTAAGCTTCAAGTGGACGACAGAAGCACAGTCTAGCTTCACTTCACTTAAAGACCTGATAGTCAATAGTCCTGCCTTAGCTCTGTATGACCCTGAGTTACCAACCTATGTTACAACTGATGCTTCAGACTATGGACTGGGCGCAGTGTTAACTCAACTGCATTCAGATGAAAGTGAGAGAGTTGTCGCTTTTGCATCAAGAACTCTTTCTTCTGCTGAGCGCAAGTACTCCACGGTCGAACGTGAAGCTCTTGCCTGCGTTTGGGCTGTGGAAAGGTGGAGAACCTACCTCTGGGGTCGTCGCTTTGTTCTTCGTACAGATCACCAAGCACTTACGACTTTACTCACCTCTAAAGGTTCTGGCCGTGCTGGACTAAGGATTGCCAGATGGTCCGCTCGACTGCTCTGCTTTACATACGACGTCACTTATCGCCCAGGAAATCAGAACGTCACTGCTGACTGCCTGTCTCAACTACCACTAACTGCTGAAAATGAGGCAACAGAGGAACCTGACATGATTGCTGCTGTTTTTAAGGAGTCACTGTGTGCCATTTCTCTTCCAGAGTTCACTTCTGCCAGCGAAATCTGTCCAGAACTTTCACTACTGCGCAACCAGATTGAAAAAGGCTGGCCCAAATGCAAAAAAGGTCTTCCAGAGAACCTTACTCCATACTTTCAGATACGACATGAGTTATCAGTTCATGGTTCACTGATATTGAGATTGACAGATCGACTAGTTGTCCCTGCTTCACTGCGTGCCAGACTTGTTGACTTGGCACATGAAGGACATCAAGGCATTGTCCGTACCAAGCAGAGACTGCGTGAACTTTTCTGGTGGCCACAACTGGACAAATTTGTACATTCTGTCATTGCTTCCTGTGTTAACTGCCAGTTCAGTGATAAGGTAGCCATAACTGCTCCTGCTCCACTCACTCCAGTTGAATTCCCTAGTAAGCCATGGGAAAAAGTTGCAATAGACATTACAGGTCCATTTGAAAATGCTACATGGGACTGCCGTTATGC